GAAAAGAGGCGAAATTTTGGACGTAAGACCAGCACAGAGACTACTCAGGGTAGCATTTGCGTCCTGAATTCTTCTGTCATTAGCGTTCGGATTAATTTCGGGGGTTAAATGTTGGACAATAAAATGGTCTAAGGGTGCCTCTTGCTAAGGGCAACTGCAGCACACGAAACAGTTTTGACTATAAAGCTTGGCCGTTACCTCGTCAGCATAGTCTTGGGTCAAGCATACATCGGCAATACAATAATATCTTGTAAGACGGAAAATGTGTGGAAATTGTTGACAACATCTCCTAACTAAAAGTTTGTTGCGTGTAGATTCTGACTCCATGCAAATAACGCAGAAGTCTTTTGACCGGACCAGCTCTGAACTTTCTTCCTCAATTACAAGTCAATCAGGAAATGGAACGGTTTTTAACAATAGCCCATCTGTATATTCATTGCTTGATGCGCATTGCAAGTGGCAGCACGAGCACGTAGTATCTTTGCAAGACGGCGCCTTCATAGGCAATGCAAACAAAACGTTTTTCTAAAAAACTAAGGTAAGTCGTGATTTTGTAAAAGGAAAATCTAGAAAAACGAGAAAAAAATTCAAAAAGGAAACTAGTGAACCATCATTAGAGTGCATTTATTTACAAACTAAAATGCAACTTTCATGCAAAAAAACAACTACAAAAGTTAAAGTTAAAGTGAATATTATTCACTCCAATTGTTCTTCTTTACAGAGTTTCACTTCAAATGTGTTTACATTGAAGCATCTTAAGGTAAATTTCCATTTAGTTTAACTTTTCAGAATCCACTTCAGGTCAAAAGGACCAGCATTTTCGTCTCTTGAGGGACGGAACTGCATGTACGAATGTGTAACATGGAAACTCAGAACATTTTCAGTTATTTTATTAAGGGAAAAATCCTAAATTCACGCTGATTTGGCAGCAGCCCAGACAAGTCCCTCAGTATTTGCTTGATGCACTGTAAAACCTCCTCCTGAAATTCACGAGGTTGAAATATGCGAACTGTTGGCAAATCGGGTGTGATTTCCTTGACATATCCGTCTACTGAGCTACATTGACCCACAGCATATGTGCAGCGAAGATACCCTGCTTTACAGCTGGAGAAAAGAGGCGAAATTTTGGACGTAAGACCAGCACAGAGACTACTCAGGGTAGTATTTGCGTCCTGAATCCTTTTGTCATTAGCGTCCGGATTAATTTCGGGGGTTAAATATTGGACAATAAAATGGTCTAAGGGTGCCTCTTGCTCAGGGCAACTGCAGCACCGGAAACAGTTTTGGCTATAAAGCTTGGCCGTTACCTCGTCAGCATAGTTTTGGGTCGAGCATACATCGGCAATACAATAATATCTTCTAAGACCGAAAATGTGAGCAAATTGTTGAGAACATGTAACTAAAAGTTTGTTGCGCGTAGATTCTGATTCCATGCAAATAACGCACAAGTCTTTTGACCGGACCAGCTCTGAAGTTTCCTCCTCAATTAGAACTAAATTAGGAAATGGAATGGTTTTTAACAATAGCCCATCTGTATATTCATTGCATGATCGCATTTAGACTGTAGGTATTCCGATATCGCATCGTCAGAGTCGTCAAGAGATTTCGATAAGAAGTATGGTCTAAGGCAATTTAATCCAGTGACCCTTTTGTGTCTCTCTGCGCTAAAACTGCAGAGTTCGCCATTTTCTTTAATTACACCGATGACGTCGCTGGCATAATTGCCTAATGCAAACAACATGTCCTTGTCATTACTTGCTGGGCTTTCACCACTTGGAAAAAAAAATAGACTCTTAACGATCTCTAAGCAGTCATCCAAGGTCGCAAATCTTGGGACATCCCATACCCTGCTCCAGCCTCCATGGTGCACTTATTTTTGTTTAAATCATCTATCAGACGAATGTTTCCACTCGAACTCGAACCGCAGCTGTTGGCTTTTTGTCATAGCCGTATCTTTGACTGTTTGACGCTATGACTTCGACTCTGAGCTACCTCCAATAAGTGCTCGCAGTTTTTTAAAGGACAAGTGAAGTAAAAAATCCTGTACCAGTCGAGTGAGAGTTGTTGGCGGAGCCGCCACAAGCCGCGAGAAATACCGCCTGCCAGAGGACCATGATTTTCGAATGCCGCCCACTTTTTTGCCTCAACTAATCCCATTTAAATCAGCCAATCAGAGTGAAACCTGTAATTCAAAACTTCCGATTAGTTTCGCACGAAATGTCTGGCTCTGTTGGTGATTTACTGCGCGCATGGCGACCTCTCGCGGGGAATACTCAAAATCGTGGGGAAATACTCCTACAAAGCCAGTTAAAGGAAGAAAAGCCAAAGAGGAGAGTGTTGATGACTTGTAGATTGTGTGGTTTCAATTTCAAGGTAAAATTTGGTAACTTTCAGAAGAGTGCAAGATATATTTCCACGGAGAATTTGTTTAAACCTTCTGGGCACGCGAAGTGAGATGGCAAAACATTAGCAGAAATTTGCTCCGAAATTGGCCTGAACATTGTGGAGTCTAGTCTTGTATTGAGTAGAGTTTGTCAATCTTGTGGGAGGAAAATATTCAAGGCTGCTAAACTTTTCCATTTCATTCGCTCCGGCTTATTGATTCACAGTCATAGTAACAAAACAAAACAATGTGTCAATCTGTGCCTACTCACCATCTTTACACATCGATCGAAGTATTGACAGTTTGCCATATGCCCCACGAAACACAATTAGTCTTTACAGATCTTCCTTTCCTGATTGTGACAATGCAAAGAACAATTCAGATTCAAGCTCAAGTTTACGTGGCAAAATTTCAAGTTTTGATGGCAGATAGGATTTCAAGCTCAGGTAAAATAACAACAACACAACTTGCTTTCTCCTCTCACCTCTTTCCCGTCCATGATTCAACTGTATGAGACTCATCTACCACAATCGCCGATACTGCTTTATGAATAGCTGTGTTGCTGTTCTTCAGTTCACCAAGAAATGGTGTTTGGAGGACATTTTCTGCAGTACAGTATAAGAATTGTTGCGGTCATGCAGAACGGACGTCAAATTTTCGCCGGACAATTCCAGTGCTATGAAGTCTAAAGACACAATTTCGGCAATTTGGTCGTCAATTATGCTTTTTAAAGGGGAAACTACAATCACACACGTCTTTTCTGATCGCAATTGCTCCTTTGCAATGGCAAAATCGGTAAATATTAGGCTTTTGCCTAACCCTGTGGGCAAAATTGCCATGACGTCCTGTCCAGCAAGTAGCTCCTTCACAGCCGTTTCCTGCTCCCTCTTAAGAATAATTTCCTCCTTCTCGCGACTCACATTGAGATGTTCTAGCGCTTTATCTAGCGCTTTATTGATGGTTGATTCGGCCGACTCCGCAATAGTCTAACATCTGCTCCCTTGGGAAATATGAGAAAGATCATGCAAAGTACTATGATTGACATATGTATAGCCCTCGACCAATCAGTTTTCCTGCACACTGGTGTGCGGGCTATTCAAAATACCGGGGTTTCAAACGCCTCGTCCCCACTCCTTGTTTTGGATTGCGGCTCCGACGCCAAAACTTTAATCACACAATACCACCAGCTGCGCAGGCTATGTACTGTATGAAATATTTTCTATTTAAGCGTATTTTGCTTTTTCAATTTTCCTAGAACTTGGCGCTTAGCAGCTTATCGCCAGTTTACATGGTGGGCACATGGCGCCTTAGGAAAAAAAAATCGGCGACACGAGTTTCCTGATGAAACTGGACAATATGCCGGATTCAAGGAAGCAGAACTCGAGCTAAGTTAGTTTCAAGCTAAACAATCCTGGTCTTGGTATGTAAACATTGTTTTACCTTATGACAACCGGGCATAAAAATCCCTTCAGATCGTTTGATCCTTTGCAAATGCATGTACATTGTCTAACTAAAAAAATAAAAATTAAGCTTATCTGTATAAAAATTGTGATGTTTTGCTTCAATCCATTTTGTTGCATCTTCCTTTTAAAATTAAAGTAATTGGTTATTGAATAATTAAAAGGTTGCAAAATAGTAATTGAAATATTTCGGCGAGTTTTAACAATAATATTCAGTATTTTTCAAAAAGAAAATCTTGACCGGACAATCAGCAGCATTTTTTCATTATAAGTGAAATGCTGTAGGTTGCAAAGCAGTTATGGAAAATTTTTCGGTCATAGTAATACAATAATATTCAGTATTTAAATTCAATTTTATATCAGCAATCAGCCGCATTTTTTATCAGTGAAAAAAAGAGTGATTAAAGCATGACTTATGTCGGACATCTGTGAAATTTGTCTCCTCTTTGATGTAATCTCCCTAGAGGCAATGTAGTTTTAAATCACGAACGTAAGTCTGTGCATGAAATTCTGTGAGGTGACCATTCAAGTGAAATTTCTTCGGATAGAACTGAGGTGGCCATTCAAGTGAAATTTCTTCAGGTACATCTCTTTACTGGTGAAAATAAGTCCTTTTTTGTGAATTGACATATTAGAGTTTGAAAAGTTTTGGACTAGAGTTTGGCCACTCCCAAGAGAGTAAGGATTAAGATTGATAGAAAAACCAAATAATATGATTGAATTCAATCAAAACACTTAAAGCTAACCTGTATTATACATACATGGTACTTTTTGGTATTGCAACAATAAAATATGTATTTGTGTGTTAATATAGAATCAGGAAATCTTGATGTGTACTTTGCAATGACATCTGCTTGGGCAGGCCGAGGTTTTGTAGCAATGTTGCGTGGGATGTGAGGTGTTGTGAGTGTTGCGCTCCGATCAGCAGCATCTTGCAACTTCCTTTCCACTAATGAATCAAGTATGGGTTTTAAGTGTTCTCTTGTTGTCTTCTCCATGATAGGTTTTGCAACCCATTCCTTCATTTGCTTTGGGAACACGACCTTGTAGCTCAGTTCCCCCTCATTCTGGCCCCTTGAAACAGTAGCTTGCTGCCTCCCAGTGTTAGCGTTGCGATCGGGGGCTGCTAACTGTGTGCGAGCAACCATGCCCTTGTATTAGAAGTGCTGCCGCTTGGAAAGGTACTTCAGTTGTACACTGTGGTACACTTCCAGTGTTCCAGTGTGGCAGTTTAGGGTTAATTTCTCGATGTCCTTAAGGAGGGTTTTGTCAAAAACAACCTCCTTAAGAGCCTCATGCGCAGGGGAACCAGGACGAAGCCACCGCTTTGTCCTTGCCTCCTCTCTAGGGATGGGTGGGTGGGGACATTCATGATACAAGTCAGCACTGTCCCATGAGTGGATGTTGGCTGAGTGGTGGACAATGGAGATCCACTTCTCACGTAAGAGATTCTTATCCCCCTCGCAAGTGTCTGCACACCACCAAAGATGGTTAGAGACTGACTTGATCCAGGGGAAAAGTTCACTACATTCTTTCCTCTTGGCCTTTTCTGTGAGTTTTTTAGTGATACTTTTTGCTACATGCCAAACATCGAACTGGTGTTGTACATGAGGAAAATTCTTTTTCATATCAGACCGTATACTGACATGGCGATCTGTGGCGACTACTTTTATGTTGGCTCCTCTGTCATGAATATTCTCCATACATCTTTTAAACCCCTCCCTTTCCATTGCATTGCTGCTGGTCACCTCACTAACCTGAACAATTTGAAAGTCAATTATCTTGTCACTGAATTGATCGATCATGGTGTATGTCCCATATTTAGCACTGTGTCCGGGACTGTCACATCGACCATCTCCAGACAGCCACAGGTCTTCAATTTCAAGGTCACTGAAAACAGAATTTTGCTCCGCCTGCCAAGCTTCATTAATTACAGGAAATAAGTACATGTTTTGAATGTTGTAAAATGTCTTTTCACTAAACATTTTCCAGTTCAAAATTTCAGATAAAGATACTATTTTTGTGTACGTTGCTCCACATAGTAAAATTGTTGAAGCCAGTAACAAGTTTCCAGCAGCCATCCCTTTGAGCATGGGTTGACTCTTCCAAATTTTTATGTGCCCATTTTTAAATTTTAGGGTAACACGTAGTTGACTTCCCCGAGTGGACGTTCCTCTTTTGATTACTACTGCCCCACATGTAGGGCGTCGATGCAAAGGTTCATCCAATTGTTCCATAAATACTAGGAATTTGCTGTCATTTTGGGGAGTTTGAGGTTTCAACTTTGATGGTACTGCCATTGATACTTCTTCCTCCTCCTCATCATCATTTTCCTCACTTTTAGAGGGGATATAAGATGGGTCTTTGTGAGTGGATACATTTTCAATACTCTCATTTTCCCTGGTTTTTCTTCAGTGTTAAAGAACCAGGCTTCCTCATCAAAAAGGCCTGGTTCGGTCTGAGTGTACTGGTCACAAAGACCAAAGAAGTCAGGTGTTTGGGTCCCTACTGATTTCAGCATAAGACTCTTTCCTCGAGTGTTAACTTGACATCCAAAATCATGCGTCTCTATAGGCGAGCTAGTAGGAACGGATGCGATCTTCACATTCTCAGGTTCCTCAAGAACTTGTTCACTGGGGCTGGCTATTTGGTCACATGCACTTGAAGTACTAGGTTCTCCAACAGCAACAGGTAGGGCAGGGTGAGATGATGTCACAGAGCTAATGAACTGCAGTAGAAGGAACTAGCCTCTATCACCACCCCAGATTTAGAAAATGATTAATAGTCCAATGAGAAAATACAGCAAAGGGCCTTTTCATTATTGCAGGTTTTAACATTGTGTGACTGCGTTTATGAACATCCGCGGATAATAGTCTACCATAAGATCAGCACGCAAACTCTTTTTTTTTTCAATATGAATTGACAATCCTTACCTCTTGTTTAGATCTCTCCTGGAGGCGCCTCTCAGATGATAGTCTCAGCTTCTTTTTCGGATGGTGCTCGAAAATTGTTGGCACTGCATCTGGCTTCAAATGACATTGGGTAGATGTAAGTCCAAGAAGTTCAGCTTTTAGGTCACGCTTGTAGCATTCAGGTTTGAAGTGAAGTGAACGTACTCTGGAATCTTTTATAACAACAAGATCTAGATGGGATAATTTCGCCAGCCACTCTTTCAAGAGCTTATCATCAGTGGGAAATCTGTGGTAGCTTACCCCTTGCTTACTACCAACATATCGAGAATCATTATTGCAACCCACAGCGCTACAGGAGACCATGATGAAAGATTTAGAATATCCCAACAACACTACTAACTACGAAAGACAACGAACACGATGAAAGAAAGTAAACCTTGTGCTACAAATAGCTTTATTTATACGGTTCGCATTGTGCAATACCGGAAATTTCTCGTCGTAACTCTCAAAAATTACGAAAGGTTGGACTCACTTATCGCCAACTTGCGCCATGTTCAAACAAACGTGCTTTGTAGAATAGTGCCCTTTTCATCGTGCCCTTTGAGCTGTTCAAGAATAACACAGAACACCGTAGTTGAAACGATCCAGTTTCATACTAAATAACCTCATTTAAACATTAAATTTTGGCAACTTCTACCGTTGCGTCTACAAATAATAAATGAATGCCACCAGCGGGTAAGTTTGTAAGCTGTACAGCTTGTAATAAAGGGAACACTTTAATTGACCAAAATCAGTAAAGAGAATGTTTAATTACAAAATAAATTGACACTTACAAGTTGCTGCAAGCAATTAAAATCCTTGATGTACAAATGTCATATTTTTACTTTGTTAGTATTTCTGCTACACGTATGTCTTTCAAACAGATGTAAACCTAAGTTACCTACGCGGTTCTTGTTTACAGTGTCGCGCCAACGTCGCGTCGTCCACACTTTTATCCCGAGAAGATCTCCGAATTCAAAGATTAAGCCTATACAGTAAAGAGTGTGGCAAACTGTAAGAATATGCTATCCTTGGCATTTTTGGTACATTTTTCCATTGACGACACCTGGACATCGAGCTTGGGTTCTTCAGTGTTAAAAGACCTTAAGTAGGCTTTTTGTGGAGCATCGCCTTTCTTCCCCGTAGGTGACGTCACATGCTTCGAAAACAACCGCTGACGGGCGGATTCTACCTCACGCTGACGCCATGTTGTACGGCCACGCAAACCGGGTCTCCAGACTATACTGTCTCCTCGTCATAGGTCTTATCAAAGTGGGTTGGTTTCACCCTCAAAATGACGTTAAGGATTTTCGCCACTCAGCGCTTGATGCTATAACACAAGCAGCTCGGCGGGATGAGTTTTCATCAAGCTTAGGCTGTGCGACTTTAACAAACAACAGACGCCATCTTGGACTCGACAAACTCACAGTCAGTGGCTACTCAAATGCAAGAGTTAGTCGTTATCCTAATGCTGTGTCCACGTTCCAGTTAACCCGCCTAACAACTAGTGGAGATGTATGCCCAAATCCCGGTCCTCCTACGACAAAACCTAGCTGTCAAATGTGTTCAAGAACAATCGCTCGCAACCACCGAGCATTACACTGCAACTTGTGCAGCCTAAATTACTACATGAAATGTGGTCAGGTGACAGCCAGGGAATACAAATCTATTCAATTTAGAGACCCGAAGACATGGATTTGCAATAGCTGTTTATTTAACCCACCCCTGTCGGCCTGTGGATTCGACGAATCTGACCTGCTTACAGCTTTACCTTTCAGTTCATTGTCAGACGACTCGTTTTCTTCAGTGATTGGGACTCATACACCGCCGCTTTCTGACGTACTTCCCAAAGATGACGAATGCGAAAGTCCTTTCACTGACCTAGTCCATCAACTGTCTAAATGCTCAGCTAAAGATCTAAAGGTAGCACATTTGAACATCTGCAGCTTAAGAAACAAAATCGACGAATTAAGATGCTTGCAGTTATTATGCAAATTTGAGGTGCTGGCAATAACTGAAACTCACCTCGACGAAACTGTGTTAGACACTGCCTTGAACATTGACGGGATGAAGCTATTACGACTCGACCGCAAAGGACGCAAAGGAGGAGGTTGCGTTTTGTATTTTGCAGAACATTTACATGCTATTCATCGCAAAGATTTGTTTATTGAGGGTCTTGAAGCGATTTGGCTACAAGTCAAAACTTCTAGCACCCTGGCCCTATTTTCTGTCATTTACAGACCACCTGACGACAACCTTTTCTTCGAACGCATCAACACGCCACTTGAAAAAGCCTGGCTGAGATCTGAAAATATTTTTCTACTCGGCGACTTTAACTGTGACTTTTCTTTTCAAGGCAATCTAGATAACATCCTGCACCGAAACACAATCAAACTGCGTTCTATCTTTGAGTCGTTTAATATGCATAATATGATTCAGGAGGCCACAAGATCAACAATTTCATCACGCACATTGCTCGATCTCTTTGTAACAACAAAAAGGGATCTCGTCAGTTCTTCTGGAGTATTCCCACTGGGACTATCAGATCATGATTTAATTTATGCAACCATTCGTCTCAAGAACAAAAGACCATCGCCAAAAATCATCAAAACAGGAAATTACAAAAGAATGGACGTAGAGAAATTTAAACATGATCTTGAACGTAATCCACTTCACATCGCATCCATCTTCGAATAGCCTGACGACCAGCTATGGGTTTGGGAACGACTGTTCGACGATATTTCCAATGAACATGCTCCATGGAGGGAGATAAAGGCAAGAAGCTTTTCCTCCCCATGGATAACTTGCGAAATTCGTCTCAAAATGAACCGACGGTATAAACTGTATTAAGCGGCAATTTCTAGTAAGTGTCCAGAGTAGTGGTCTTATTACAAACGAGTCAGGAACGAAGTTACGTCTGATCTAAGGAAAGCTAAATCATCTTATTTTTCCACCATTTTTAATGAAGTCAAGTCCTCCAGTGCATACTGGAATCTTCTTAAAAGGGCTACCAACCCCAAGGTCCGCAAAAACAACGGGCCTCTTAAAAAGGAAGACAGCACCCTGGAATTTACGGACTCGGGAAAAGTAAACCTGATGAACTCTTATTTTGCTACGATTGGCCTAAAGCTATCCAGCACATTACCCCCGCCTACAAGTTGTGGACACGGGATAACTTGCGCAGACAAGGGCAAGACGGATCCTCCTCGACTCACAGATGCCTATGTTTCAAAGTCTTTAGTAGCGGACAAAATAAAGGCGCTAAAAACAAGAAAATCCACGGGTCCTGATAACATACCTCCAAAGCTTTTAAAGCTAGCAGGTGATGCGATTGTCCCGTCACTCCTCAGCCTATTTCGACTCTCCATTACCACCGGTAGGGTGTTCACTAGCTGGAAAACTGCGAGGCTTACTCCAGTATATAAAAAGGACGATGAAACCGACTGCTGCAATTATAGACCGATATCATTGCTAAGCGTACCAAGCAAGATCCTTGAATCAGTAGTCAACGACACAATTGTTCGTCATGTATACAAAGCTAATAATCTAGTCACGGACAAACAATGGGCATACCGCGCAGGATTTTCAACAGAACTGTTACTAATACAACTTACTGAAACATGGAGAGAAGCTGTGGACGCAGGCTTAGTGGTAGCAGTTGCCTTCATAGATTTTAAAAAGGCATTCGATAGTGTGTCGCACGCCATTCTCGAAACGAAGTTGGAAAGGGACTTTGGCATATCAGGGCTACTCCTGGATTGGCTTAAAAGTTACTTGAAGGAAAGACAGCAATATACAGCTGTTAATGGATCAACTTCAGAGATGATACCGATCTCTTTTGGAATTCCTCAAGGGTCTGTCTTGGGGCCGACACTTTTCACTCTCTTCACGAACGATCTTCCGTCCTCAGTATCTTCCGGATCCGTCTATATGTTTGCCGACGACACAACGGTTTACTGCATAAGTGACACGGCAGAGAAAAGTATT